TGATAAGTGGTTAGTTTCAGATAAGTATTGGACAAAATGTCTAATCTCAGCAGAGTGTGGCACTTAAGCAGCAAATTAGCAGAGTACACAAATGAACCAAATCTACCATTTCCAGTGTTTATGGTTTTCCACAATCCCAAGAAAGATACATCTATTCCAATAAATCTGTTCCGTGAAAGACAGAAAGCGGCAGCACAATCAGCCGATGAATGGATAAAACAACTGTACCTAATAGTGCTACAGTAATACAAATCAATACAACTGTGCTTTTCATAATAGTACTAACACAATAAAATAGTATTGTTATGGGCTCAACCTCCAAATAGCTGCATGGTGAAAGTAGTGCAGGAGAATGAACCCACAGAAGAAAAAACTGTTAACCTGTGGGTCATGGGACACTCCACTCATCACTGGAGCACCTCCTTCTGGCTGTATCTGGGAATTAGCTCTGCCAGTCTGATACCCTTCCTGCAATTGCTCACGCCATCACTCTCTCAGCCTCTCTGTCTTGGGACTCAACTACTCTTGCTTCATGGCTTGGCCCTCCACCCAGGTCACTGTAGTCCTCACCTTCTGGGGTATCAAAGGACCCACAGTGCCAGGCATTCTTCCCTCTCGCTGCCTCTTAACGCCCGCTCCCCAGGGGCTGGTAGGGGAACCCAAGCCCACTCTCAACCCTGGGTTCCAGCCCAGGGATCCTATAACAAGCAGTCAAGGTCTGCACTGTCCTGAACCTTGCACCTGTCTCCCTCAGGTACTTCCTACCTTGCCTTCTCTCATCCTGAGAGTAACTGCAGCTTCTCTCTCTGCAGCCTCCTTCTACTCTCAGGTCCTGGGCTTATGCTGGCCCCTCTTGTTCCTGTCCAGCTAAGCTTCCTCTTTAATTAACTCTCTTTACTCCCTGGCTTCTCATCCAGGTGCAGCCACTGTGCCACCTAGCTACCTTAACTCCTTCAGGCCTTGTGTGGGGTGGACACCCCATGACACCATATGTTTGAAATGTCCAAATGTCCAAATACTTAACACTTATAGCAGTGTGCATCTTCAAAGACCTGTAGTAACACATGCTTACAACACCCCTGTGAGATAAATAAGTAAGTATCCTTATCTCTGTTTTCAGATGGGGAAACTGAAGCCGGGAGTAGAACCAATATACACAAGACCACATTAAGTCAGTACCAGAGTGGGGCATAGAACTTGGGAGTTCCTGGCTACCAAGCCTGCATTTGTTTCCATAGGCTATGCCATAAATACATAAACAGTTCTTGAGCCCTTGTTCCTAAATAACTAACTGGCTCCTCATGTCCCTTCCCACAAATCATCTGAGTGTGCAACAGTAGTCTAGAATCCTTTGTAACCCTGACCCATGCCAGGTGACTGGGACCAAGAAAAAAAGTATCATATGACTTTTAAAAACCAGCTTTATATTTGTGGATAATCTAAGCACTATACCCAGATGTACAGACACTCTCTTCCAAAACTATGTCTTATATAGTTTTTTTAACATTCGTTTTAATAAATTTTTTACTACTCTGCTGCACACCTTAGTCTGGAAAGCAGCAGGGAGGTGTGAGATTTAAAATGTAACCTGCTTGAGTAGACTTCATGGAGGTGCAGGAGAGGAGATGTTTACTGCTGAATGAGGGGAGGTGTCAGTGCTGTGGAATAAGAATATAAGAGCTACCACACGGGATCAGAAGATGGTTCATCTTGCCCAGTATCTTTACTCCAACAGCGGCTCATACCAAAGGTTCACAGGGAGTGTACAGAACAGGGCAACTATGGTGTGATCCACCTCATCTTCCGCTTCTGGGGGTTGGAAATGTAGGGTTGTTCTGAACATGGGGTTGTATCCTTGACCATCTTGGCTAATAGCCATTGATGGACTTATCCAGTTCTTTTATGAACCCAGTTATACTTCTGGTCATCACAGCATCCCATGGCAATGCATTCCCCAAGTTAGTTGTGTGTTGTATGAAAAGTATTTCTTCTTGTTTGTAATAAACCTGCTGCCTGTTAATTTCATCAGCTTTTTGTATTGTGTGAAAGGGTAAATAACACTTTTCTATTAACTTTTTCCACACCATTCATGATTTCATAGACTTCTATCATATCCCCCTTAGTCATCTCTTTTCTAAGATGAACCTCCCTAATCTTTTGAATCTCTCCTTGTATGGAAGCCCTTTAGCATCTTTGTTGCCCTTCCCTGAACTTTTCCCATCTCCACAATATCCTTTTTGAGAGAAGGGAACCATAACTGGTTCAAGGTGTGGGCGTACCAGGGATTTATTAGTGGCATTATGATATTTTCTGTCTTATTTTCTATCCCTTTCCTAATAGTTCCTAGCACACTGTTAGCCTTTTTGGCCACTTGCACATTCAGAGGAAGTTTTCAGAGAACTATCCTGGTGATGACTCCAAGATCTCTTTGTTGGTGGTAACAGCTAATTTAGAACCTATCATTGTAAATGTATATTGGAGATTATTTTTTCAAATGTGTATTACTTTGCACTTATCTATGTTGAACTTCGTATGCCATTTTGTTGCCCAGTCACTCCGTTTTGTGAGATCCCTCTGTAATTCCTCGCAATCTGCTTTGGATGTAACTATCTTGAATAATGTTGTGTTGTCTGCAAACTTAGCCACTTCATTGTTCGTTTCCCCTTTTCAGATCTTTAACAAATATGCCTAACAGCACAGGTCCCAATACAGATCCCTGTGGGGGCAGTCCACTGTTCACCTCTCTGAATGGTCAGTCTTAAAACTGACCATTTATTCCTCCTGCCCTTTGTTTCCTGTCTTTCAACTAGTTTCTGATCCATGAGAGGGCCTTCCCTCTTATCTCAATTGCTACGTAGTTTCCTTAAGAGCCTTTGATGAGGACCTCATCAAAGGCTTTCTCAAAATCCAAGTACACTATACCGAGTGGATCACTCTTATCCACATGCTTGTTGACTCCCTCAAAGAATTCTAAGAGACATGATTTCCCTTTACAAAATCTGTGTTGACTCTTCCCTGACAAATCATGTTTATCTATGTGTCTGATAATTCTGTTCTTTACTGTTGTGTCTATCACTTTGCCCCGTGAAGTCAGGCTCACCTGCCTGTAATTGCCAGGATCTCCTCTGAAGCTCTTTGTTAGAAGCAGATAAAGAGATGAGAGAAACATCAGTTTTTTCCTCTCACAGAAAATGACAACTTCCAAGCATTAAGGACTTTAAAACATATTTTTTACATAAAATGCAATATTGATGTTAAAAAAAAGCTAATTCCATTTTTTATTTATACAAACCAAGATTGTCTGGACTTTTTTTTTTTTTTTTCCACCTGACAGTCCTACAGAGAAACTGGCACATGGAAGCTCTGTCACCATCTGTTGACAGTTTAGGAAACTGCAATAATATATTTTTATTCACATTTCTCAAGCATTAAGTCACCTTCATCACTTTCAGCATCAAGACTGGAAATTTGGGTGGACCTTTTCTTGCAGTTTGGACAGCTGTTTTGGTATGTCCCCAGTTGCTATTTCCATCGTCTTTACTTTTCTCAGTCATTTCCTTTGGAAACCTGCTACTGAAAATTCTTTCTATTGATCAGGCAGCTTTTCCTGCCTGGTGTATTCCCTGCAGATTTCTGGGCGAGAATACAGAGCTACTTCTCTTTCATTTGTTGTGTCCTTAATGCTACACTTGTATTCATATCTGATTTATGAGAATGGGTTTGGTGATGCAATGCACAGTTCAAACAGCAATAAATGTTTTCCGTATAGTTCCTCTTCACATTTATTTCCCCTTTGTATCTATATACACACCCTTACTTCTCCATCCAGTGATCACAGCACTTGTACAGCCATAAAATAAGATTATACGTTTTTTCTGTTGGCATGTAAACAAGCCTCTTTATAAATAGAATTTGTTAAGTATTTTTGAACAACGAAAGCTACAGTAACCAAAGTGACACATCCAGCCTTGTTCTTTTTTTCATTGTTGTTATAACTTTGGCCAGATCCACAACTCAGATTTGAGACCCAGAATTACAACTAGAAGTTTAATGAAGTAGGCTTATTGTAAATGATAGCTTAGTTCAGTTAATGCAATAAGATGAGGAAACTTTTTTAGACTCACCCATATCATATTGCTCTATGTTTGCCTTGCAGTACATTCAACCAGAGCTGAAAAAAAATTATTCCTTAATAATTTAACTATTGATGGACACAATGTTTTGATAAAATATGTTTTTTGTGTCTATTATGCAACAAGTCCTCATAAAAATTAAGGGTACCCTTCTAAATAAAAATCATATTTTTATCAGAATATTTCTTACCTACCATTTTTATAAGTAACCCCTAAGATTACTAAGGTTAGAAGGAATTCAAGGGGAGAGGTGTCTCTAGTTATTTTCCAGTGTCTTCCTTTGTATGAATTTGATCGTACTTTCTATGCAGTCAGTGTCACTGTTTCCTTGTATAGTCAGTTAGGCCATGATCCTCCAAGCCGCTCTGCATTGGCAAACTCCTGTACCCATGAAGTCAACAGGCCTCTGAGGTAGAGAAAAGGTCTGCTCATGTTCAGTGGCTTACAGGACCTGGGCCCACCATAACTCATATCCCATTTTGTTTGTGTAGGACAATGACAGGAGAGGCATTTTTAAGACAGGGAAATGTGAAGGTAAAAATCACAAAAATAGGCAGGAGACACAGAGGCAACTTTACTATCTGAAATTTACTTTTAATTCCTTGTTTTATATAAACTAGGTTTCAAGTTGACAGTGTTCTAGGGTGACCAGACAGCGAATGTGAAAAATCGGGCGGGGGTGGGGGGGTAACAGGAGCCTATATAAGAAAAAGACCCAAAAATCGGGACTGTCCCTATAAAATTGGGACATCTGGTCACCCTACAGTGTTCTTTAGTTAAAAGTTACAAAATAGTAATACAATGTAAGGGAACAATGACCATTAGTGTCAAATGTTGTTGGAATGTGATTTCATGTGTTCTTATTAGGTATGCTGGAGGATGAAAAGTCAACTCAGACCTGTGTTACCATGTCCTCGACTGCAAGTGGAATAATTAATACTGAGAAGAAAACTAGCTGTGGTACTCAATGCACAAAACCTGCAGTCCATCCCTCTGGAACGATGACACAGAAACACAATAACTTCAGAACAGCAGAGGTAGGGTTATAATTATGTTCTGTGACTCTCAGGACTAGCTTCAATGGGACTACAATTATTTTTGTGACAATTCTCCATTTTACAGTCAAACCCCATTTAGCATCTTGAAATACAATAAAATACTTACACTGCAGCCACAGCATATTGCATGAGAAGCTGCAGATCTGGGCAGAGGCAGACTTTGAATCTACGTCTTCTGACTGATGATTAAGTGCTGACAAGGGACAGACCCAAAGGCCCCTACCCAACTGCACAGTAGGATCATCAGACAGGTTCTCTCAAACATTTACCTCTGGGATGGGAGAACAAGCATGGGAAATCTGAGCCCAAAAGGAATTTGTCTGAGAAAATAGACAGCAACTGGAAAAGGGAGTTTAGAATGGAAGCCACATCTCAATCTTACCTCTAATGTTCATTAATAGCAAACACAATAGTATGTGTGTGTTTATTTTAAACCTCCTTGTACTGTATTATTCATCCTTCGTTGCTTCTGCAGCATGGAAATATTTCCCCTGTGACCTACACCCAGTTGTGTCTTTCCATTTAAGTATTGCAGTAGCAGGAGTACAGGGACACATTCCACGTCAACATGACTTCAAGAGCCATAGGGGGATTGCCGAAAATGAAAAAGTGCAAATGCTTGTCATAATCATGAGTCCATTGAGAAATTTAATCAGTCAAATTGAATATGGTGTAACAGAATCAATGTAATTATAAAATCCAATTTGTAAGAGACTTGGCAGCATTTCAGAATTAGATTCTACAAATGATAGCTCTAATCTATTATTCTTATTTTTTTAGCAACAAGAATACAAACATTTTAAGAAGAACTCTGTGTAAGCTCGAAAGCTTGTCTCTCTCACCAACAGAAGTTGGTCCAGTAAAAGATATTATCCCACTCTTCTTGTCTTTCATTTTATTTGGTGTTACTAGAGATGATGGACCAGTTCCTGCAATCCTTAAATCATGTTACCATTGACTGCAATGGGGCTACTCACATGAGTATGGATTACTTAATTGGGCCCTCTATCATTGGCTTGGAATGCATTCTTCCAACTTTTTCTGTCAAACAAAGATGCATGCAATCAATTATTATATCCATGTGCACAGAGAACTTGGTTGACACTAAGTCAAATCTTGGTTATGTGATTTATGTGAGTACTCTCACTGACTTCACTTTGCCTTCTATCTTTATTGGGAGGCAGTGTTGCCTAGTGCACAGCACACAGGACTGGGGCTCAGGAGACCTGGGTTATATTGCTGGGTCTGCCAATAGCCTGGTGGGTGACCCTGGGGAAGTCACTTGTTCGTGCTGTGCCTCAGTTTCCCAATCTGTAAAATGGGAATAAAGCTCTTTGAGATCTACTGATGACAAGTGCTATCTATTTATCTATATAGCTATCTAAACTAGGTATTATTATTTATTACAATATCTATTCCTCCGTTGTCTTGCTGAATCAAACTGTAGTGCCAGCAAAGGTGTATGTCAGTAAGGTGAAAAGGATATGGGCCTAAAATAAATTGATAATAAAAACAATTCATAAAATAATGAAGGAAATACAACGGTTGGACACTCAAGGGGTTAATGTTGGTCCAGGATTATTGACTATATTGTATGAAAGATCTGACGGAAGAGGTGCACTGGGAGTTGAAGTTTGCTGACTGACATTAAATTATTTTGATTAACAAAATCTGTGGAGAACTGTGAGAAACACCAGATCGATATGAACACTTTGGATCATTAGGCAGCACAATGGCAGATGTAATTCAACTTCCATAAATATAATGTACATTGGCAAATGTAGGGGCCCAATTCTGCCCTTAGTTGCAGGGGTGTAACTCCCACTGGCTTCAGTGGGAGTTACACTTGTGGAAGTGAAGGCAGCATTGGCTCTGTAATCTAGATAATCTGCAGGAAAAAGATTTCAGATCCATTGTGAATGGCTAATGAAATGTTTGCCAGGTACATAGCAACATTTGAAAAGGCAAATAAGTGAATTAAAATAGAGAGATAATATTATAAGACCATTTCAAACACTGGTGTGCACTCATTTATCTTGTCAGATATGGTTAGCACACTTTAAGAAAGGTAGAGTGAGGACTGGGAAGGTCCAGAGAAGGCATGTATAGATATAAACTGTGCAATAATTATTTAGTCTGGAAAGGCAGAAAAAGACTTGAATGAATTATTAAAATTATCAAGGGGAGATTGAAGATTTCACAAGAAGGAGGCAATCATTCAAAATAAAGGGCAGTAAATTTTAGATAATTACAATAAATATAACTTTAGATAGTGTACAGTCAGCCTGTGGAATCGACTACTGCAGTAGGTCACTGAGGCAATTGCTATCGCTAGATTTCTAAAAGGTAAATCTTTATTTTGCATGGGGACTATATATACTGTACATGTCCCCAATATGCACTGTATTCGAAGCTAAACTTGAGGAAAACTAAACTGGGAGGAGTGGTAGATACGCTGGAGGGGAGGGATAGGATACAGAAGGACCTAGACAAATTGGAGGATTGGGCCAAAAGAAATCTGATGAGGTTCAATAAGGATAAGTGCAGGGTCCTGCACTTAGGACGGAAGAACCCAATGCACAGCTACAGACTAGGGACCGAATGGCTAGGCAGCAGTTCTGCGGAAAAGGACCTAGGGGTGACAGTGGACGAGAAGCTGGATATGAGTCAGCAGTGTGCCCTTGTTGCCAAGAAGGCCAATGGCATTTTGGGATGTATAAGTAGGGGCATAGCGAGCAGATCGAGGGACGTGATCATTCCCCTCTATTCGACATTGGTGAGGCCTCATCTGGAGTACTGTGTCCAGTTTTGGGCCCCACACTTCAAGAAGGATGTGGATAAATTGGAGAGAGTCCAGCGAAGGGCAACAAAATGATTAGGGGTCTGGAACACATGAGTTATGAGGAGAGGCTGAGGGAGCTGGGATTGTTTAGCCTGCAGAAGAGAAGAATGAGGGGGATTTGATAGCTGTTTTCAACTACCTGAAAGGGGGTTCCAAAGAGGATGGCTCTAGACTGTTCTCAATGGTATCAGATGACAGAACGAGGAGTAATGGTCTCAAGCTGCAGTGGGGGAGGTTTAGATTGGATATTAGGAAAAACTTTTTCACTATGAGGGTGGTGAAACACTGGAATGCATTACCTAGGGAGGTGGTAGAATCTCCTTCCTTAGAGGTTTTTAAGGTCAGGCTTGACAAAGCCCTGGCTGGGATGATTTAACTGGGAATTGGTCCTGCTTTGAGCAGGGGGTTGGACTAGATGACCTTCTGGGGTCCCTTCCAACCCTTATATTCTATGATTCTATGATTCTATGAAAAACATAGCTTCTCCTGTTAAAATAATCAGATTAATATGTATGAGCAGAGGTTAATGGCGAAGGAGAGTTCACATCTGTATGGGACATATGCCTCACCTTTCCTTGTTCGCCACAGAAACTGCTCAGACTCTCTTCTTTTAGTGTCCACTCCATATTATTTATTCAAGTCCCTTCAACCAACACCTGTACAGTTCAGTACAACAATTCTAATTCCTGTAGCTCTATTACCATCAGACCCCTGTTCATCAGGGCCCTGGAAGGAAAAGAGATCTCCCTTCCTTGGGATCTTCTTCAGTTTGGGCACAGCTCCCTGCCCCAATAACACTTCCTTCCTGCCTTTTATCAAGTTAGTCATCTGATGAGCCAATTAGTTCCTTAACTCACCCAGTTTCCCATCTGATTAACTAATTCCTCCCTATTTCCTCAATCAATGATTGCTGGGGAAACTAACTGAGACAACAGTGATCAGAGTGCTGTCCCATCTATTAGGCCTCAGCACTCTGTCACAACCTCATTTTAAAATGGACCATCTGAGCTATTATTTACATGATGGCACATACATTCTGGGACAAATCCTCCTGGCTCTACTTGCCCCAGGTTAGCCCACAGGGTAAAAAGGATTTGGCCCTCTGTTTCCTGTATTTCACAATAGCCACAGGACAATATATTGCATTATGAATTTTGCTTCAGGGAGTAAATAGCCAGGGCTACATCACTACATCTTGTTTTAAACAGAACTGCCCAGGGACTTCTTGATGATTACTAAGAATAGAGTAATTCAGAAGGAAGCGACACATCTCCTACATCACAGTGATAGAACACCCCAGTTTCTCATGACATTTTTTATATATTTACTTAAGTGGAGGTCAAGCAAAGTGTCGGAGAAATTGTGCTGGTTTTGAGTAACAAGTGTATGGGTTTTCTTCTTGTACAAAACTTTTTCAATCTGTGTACAGAGGTGCATGCATAGCAGTGTTAATGGCGGTCAAAATGATTTATTGGCCTGGTCCAATGCCCACTGGCATCTATGGGAGTCTTTCCCTTGATGTCAACAGGCTTTGGATGAGGCCGGATAGATATCTATTGTGATTAACTAAAAAATTTACCCCAAATCACTAAAATGGGTGGAGAACACTTGGTTTTTCTGTGTATTTAGCATATTTATTTTGACAAACCTCTGATAGCTGTTGTAAATGTCTCACAATTTGCTGCCAATGTCAAACTCATGATATTGTTTTAAACTTTTTAACAGGCTAAATGGGACACCAAGAAAATGCCCACAAAAGAAGGCACCATTAATGTTACAAAAAGCATCAGACAAATTGACAGTGACAGAAGAATCAGAAAGAATTGTGTCAATTAAAGGAGTAAAGCAAAAGTGAAGATGGACCTGACAATACTTTGCTGCACTTTAACTGTGACTGATCACTTAAGATTTGAAGATCTCAAGGTGTTCTGTGTTGAATGCAATGGGCAGCGGCTGCTGAGTGCCTTGAGAAACATTGTCTTAACTAGCAGTAAATAGCTGCAAACACTGTTGGATGTTCAGACATGTATTTATCTATTGCAATGACACTGTACAAAAATATAACAAAATATGTACCATTTTTTCTCCAAGTCCTATGCTATCTAATTGTAGATTTTCTATGCTGCATTGCTGTTAGGATGAGATTGGACAATTAGAGCTGCAGTTCATCTCACTTTAAAACAGAGAAAGAATAACTAATCTGTGTTATTAGTAAGTAGCCTGAAATGTGTTACTTTCTGTTTTACAAAGTTAAAGATCTGACTTTCATAAAAACTCAAACCCAGATATCTCAGAAGTAAAGAAACACAAATGGCTTCCAATTTTTGACTATATACATGATCCATGAGTCATATTGTCTTCTGGTTAAATTACCTTGTTTTAAATTAGTTTCTATAGCAGAAGAGTTTAGGTCTTAAAAGCAATAATACTCATGTTGTTATCAGTCTAATGAATCTGAAGTACCCAGTTTAAGCTCATAGGTAGTGTTCAGTTTACATTCTGTCTTGGCTCTTGCTCAATTCTCCCTTCAGAAAGTCCAAACTGAGAACTGTTTTACAAGAGTTTGTAAGACACCCTTCACTTTCCAACTTTATATATAAATAATCAGACCTTCCCAAATAATTTCTTAATGCTGACAACTGCAAGAAGATGATCTTTATTTGATAATTTAATTTAATTTAATTTGGCTATATATCCTTGTTCTTCCAATATATAGAAATGGGCAGAACATACATTTTAATTGCATTATATTGTGTCACTGTTCTGTATATTTATCATAAGTATATTCCCAAGAAATCAATGTAAACTTTTGTATGGACCACTAATTAATACAAGACCCTGTTAACAACAAAGTCATGAGTTTGATATAAACCCACTGTGGTTTTGAATTTGGACTTTCATGGAGATAAGAGCAGTACAATCATTTGACTTACCCATTATACACCTATGAGCATCCTTAAGGTGTCATTTACAGTAACTATTCAGCTACCATTAACGCTCATGACTTATAATAGGTGGAAGTGGGCAGAAACTGATCTATGTCTGAGCTGCATGAGGTGCTTCTTTTTTATAGACACAACCATAAATAGATTCCTGGAACGGCACCCTAATGTATTCCACATGAGAATTCTTTTAAGAAATCAACATCAGGTTTATGAGTATTTATTACTTTACTTGGAATACAGCAAATATATGCAGCAAAGAATTGTTTAAATAAGTAATTGTTTTTATAATTCTTACACAAAGACAAAGTAAAGTCCAGTCTTTGCCAGAAATATTTTGCATGCAGTAGAGTTTGTATAGTTTTAAAACCATTTATAATACGTAGATTTTCAAAGGAGGGAGCCAAAGATCCCATTCTTAGCAATTCTAATTTTTTTACCTGAGCTGTGCATTTATGTACAGTAACAAAGCAGCATTGAAAGTTGAGTGGAGTAGGTGAAAACAGCTGCTACCCACATTTATCTCACCTACTTAATGGAACCTGCCAACTTGCTGCACCTCTTAGACTCGCTCCGTAAAATAAGCAGTGGCTGTTCAATATTCTTCCTTAGCAATGGGTGACCATTGTCGTCTTTGGCAGTATACAAATCTAACGGAAAATACAAATTAATGATTCTGTGTTATTTATGTAGAGCATAAAGTATAGATGGTATTGTCCATGAACAGCTGTGCCAAACCAATAACATTCTTGACCCACAGGGCTTACAGTCAGAGACAGTACAGTACAATCCAGCAAAGAAGCAGTGGGTGGCCCATGTAGCCAGGATGCATCAGGGAACAAATAGATTTTAGAGTGTCTTTTGAAGAAGAGAGAGGTTGCTTTACATACGTTTGCTGGGAGGCTGTTCCACTGGTAGGGCGGTATGGAAGAAGGTAAGGAGTGGGGCATGAGCAAAGGAGACAAAGTGGGCAGAAGGAGTTCAGGTAGCGAGATAATTTGTAAACTAATAATTTCAATGGAAACATTGCTTTTGTTATTTTGATTTTTTTTTAGTTTTTATAGTTTGTGTTAATCAAACTCAGAAACTGAAGATCTACTGTCCAATAATGTAAACTGAATTCAGAGGAACTTTTTGTATTAAATAACTGGAGATACTCATAGTACTACAATTTAAATGTGTAACTTACTAATGATTAAACCCAGTGTAACAGGAAATCAAGACATGGAAAAGAAAGGCTGCAATCTAGGTGTTGTGTGAAGATCCTACCACAAGCATTACCTGACTTTTGTGACCCTTGTATACATATTGGGAAAGTGCTATGTGTAAACTGTTCCACACATCTTTTTCTCTAGAGATGGGCCCAAACTAAAACATTTGATCCAAACACCCATGAATTTTATGGCTTTTGAAATCCAGATTCAAATTCTGTGTCTTGTGCCAATCACTAAGTTATGACTGTTTGATAAAGGCCTATGGAAAAAAACCTATTTCTCTAAAGGCTGGACACCCTTTGGATCATACACTCTTATGGTTATTACTTAGAAAGACAACTACTATAAACGCTCAAATGGGGGTCTCAGAAATCTTCATTCAGTCCATGTGTGACTTTCAAATGGTATAAGGTAGTAGATTACAGCCCCTAACAGTCCATTCACTTTCTGACAATGTGAGTTGAGCTGAACTCTGTGAGATGCTTTGTTTTTAACTGCTTTATTTTACACCACCTACATAGTATGATAGGATTTTTGTTGATGGGAGAAGAGAAAGCAGTCTACTAGATACATTGTTCCTGGTAGGGAAGTTTAAAGTATCAGATGGAGGAATTTTGCCTCTGTTCTGAATGCCCAGGATTGGATCCATCTGCCTATATTCTGTCATGCAAAAGCAGGTTGCATATTTTCTATAGATGAAAGAGTGAAAGTCAAACCATTTTACCAATGGTTCATTCAGCAGATTATTCAGCCTGTCAAGAAACTGTGAAAGAAAATAATTAATATCTAGTCTATTAGTCCAGGAGGAGTTTATTTTTGTTTTTGGCATGTATGTAGAAAGCTTTGATAAATGTAAACCTTCTGCCAGGGTACCAGCACTGGGCTGTGCTATTATTAATGTACTTCTAGGTTCTGGTAAGCTCATGAAAACATTACACATTAGATATAAAATTATTCAGGGTGGGAAGTGCTAGGTTCTGGCCAAAGCTCATTGAAAATTGTACTAGCACAAGAACATAAGAATGATCCTACTAGGCCAGACCAAAGGTCCATCTAGCCCAGTGTCCTGTCTTCCGACAGTGGCCAGAGCCAGGTGCCCCAAGGGGAATAAACAGAACAGTTAATCAAGTGATCCATCCCCTGTCGCTCATTCCCAGCTTCTGGCAAACAGAGGCTAAGGACACCATTCCTGCCCATCTTGGCTAATAGCCATTGATGGACCTATCCTCCATGAATTTATCTAGTTCTTTTCTGAACCCTGTTATGGTCTTGGCCTTCACAACATCCTCTGGCAAGGAGTTCCACAGGTTGACTGTGCATTGTGTGAAGAAATACTTCCTTTTATTTGTTTTAAACCTGTAGCCTATTAATTTCATTTGGTGACCCCTAGTTCTTGTGTTATGAGAAGTAGTAAGCAACACTTCCTTATCTACTTTCTCTATACCAGTCATGATTTTATAGACCTCAATCATATCTCCCCTTAGCCATCTCTTTTCCAAGCTGAAAAGTCCCAGTCTTATTAATCTCTCCTCATACAGACGCCTTTCCATACCCCTAATCATTTTTGTTGCCATTTTCTGAACCTTTTCCAATTCCAATATATCTTTTTTGAGATGTGGCGACCACACATGCACACTAGTCAAGAGGTGGGCGTACCATGGATTTATATAGAGGCAACATGATATTTTTTGTCCTATTATCTATCCCTTTCTTAATTATTCCCAGCATTCTGTTGGCTTTTTTGACTGCTTCTGCACATTGACTAGATGTTTTCAGAGAACTATCCACAATGACTCCAAGATCTCTTTCCTGAGTAGTAACAGCTTATTTAGACCCAATCTATATGTATAGTTCAGATTATGCTTTCCAATGTGCATTACTTTGCATTTATCAACAATAAATTTCATCTGCCATTTTTGTTTCATTTGACAGAAGCACATGGGGTTAGTCTGTGTCTAAGGAATTGTATCGAGGTTATCCCCTTGAATTTTTCATTGCTGTTCTTTAGAAGAGGTACAAAAGCATATTCAGTCAGACGTGTGACAGCAACAGTGGCCAAACTCAGCATGGTTCTGTCACAAGAGACCTGCAGTCACAGAGCTCATAAAATAAATTTACATACATTACTGCTTAGAAACTGTATAGGGAAGAGAATCCAAATTTGCCCAATCTGTAATTAAAACAACCTTAATGGTTAAAGTGCAACTAGATGCAATGCAAAATTAGGTGTCATTCATGAAGTGCACGGTTCTATATCCTTTGAAGGAGTTTCAGCAGGTGCATATTGAGAAACCCACTTGAGATGAAGTTGATGAAAGGCACCAGACTTCTAGTTTTTGATCTTTGCAAACCTTTAACATTATGGTAAAATTACAGCCAGTCAGGTCAGTTTTGGCCTCTGAGTGAGCAATTCTCTACATTGGGATTAAAAGCTTCTCTTGATTTTGAAGAACTGGTGGTTATAAGTCCTCTCCAGAAGCTATTCATTTATGAATGGGTCTGTTTCTCTGGACCGGCAAGTGACTGGCATACTGTCTATGCATGTGTATAGACCAGGGTAGTGAATAGGCAGACCATGTGCCAAATCCAGACCACCAGATGCTTTTGAATGGACCATGAAATCTTTGTATTTACTTATCATTATTTTTTTAAATTATTTTCTCTGGAGTCTGGACCTTCACTATACCTTGACCAAGAAATTTGGACCTTGACAAAAAATAATTGACTATCTCTGGTATAGACAACGTAACATGTGACCTGAGCCTTGCTGTGACTACCACCAGCCATATAAGACTCTGGGTGCAGACAGTGAATCCAAAGGAAGAGTCTTGTACAGGCACTGTAAGATCTCAAACCCAAATACTCTGTCTTTGTCACGCTGAGGATTATGTTGGTTTGGAGGAAAATTTATCAATGTTTCCTTGGAAGTTTCTGCTCCAGATTTTTCCCTCTACTAGGGCAATAGTCCATTGGATATCTTGGTGTTGGTAGCAACCAATGGGTTGCTATGCTGGCTTCGACAGTGAGGTTTGCAATCCCAGTAATTTCTCCAATGTTTCCTCCAGTAGCTCCTCATCAGCAAATTTGCACACAGACAAGCTAATCATTTAGGATGAGCAATGCATATCCATGGGTGTAACATGGCTTCCTTGTAGTCACCAAGTTGGAATCCATTGCTCACAAATCACATCAAGGTTTTCACCAGGACGGAACCCAAGACACCTCACTACAAGCAAGGATTATATCTCTAGACAATGAGCCACTTGTTTGCCACAAAGTAGGCTTTGCCTTATTTAATATATGAAAAATGTTTGGTCTGAAAGGCTATAGCTGAGGCTTTGGAATTCCTGTGCAGTGTGTCATCATGTCTATGGGGCATTTTGGAAGGAATTTCCCTTCTGAAGGTGAGATGATGTCTTTGCCTGGTGGAGCTACCGTGGCACCAACCTTAGGCTGCCCCAATTTATGAAAGTTCTTTATTTTATATAAACATTTTAGATCAACATTTAGTTTAATCTGATGTCCTTGTTGGAATCTTATGATGCCCTCAAAGGAGGCACCTTTGTATCTAATAATGCTTGAAGGGGAAGATATTTTATTAATATTAATGAGTTCCTTGCAAGCCATTCACTGACATCCTGTCCTGAAAGAATCCTGTAGGTTGCTTTTGTTTGTTGTGATGTATGTGTGGTACTTCTTCTCCCAGCTGTTTACAGGGGGAGGTAGTACACTACTCACCTGGCATGGGGACCACACAATAGAGGAAGGGTCCTGCTACACATAACTTGATTTTGGGAGTAGCTTGTTAGATGTCCCTGAAAGGCTACCTGCCTGCTCCCTGAGGCTGGCTAGCACCCAACTAAATATAGTCAGAGCAACTAGTACCATCCAGGGTTTTACTCAATAAATCAGGATAATTTTGAATTTTGAACCTAGGTAGGGATTTCTCACTTACCTCTCTCTAATCCCATAATGGCGCACCTTCATGGGGAGTAGAATCCCCACGTGCCTCTGTTCTTGTCACAGACTTGCTGAAGTGCTCCTAAAACTTTAACATGGAGCCAGCCTGTGGAGTGGGGGAGGGGTGGAGAGAGACCCATTTCCTGCCTTTCAGAGCCTGAGCCCCTTTCCCTGGCAGAGCAGGGGTTTATGGCTGATGATCAAAAGGAACATATCCTATGCTGCTGCTGCCTCAGATCTGGCTGAGCAAGGGTCCTTGGGCTGAAAGGCAGACATAGGCTCAATTGCTAGTAGGCTGTAGCCTGAGGCAGGGCTGTACAAGACGAACAGGCCTCTAAAGCAGGTCCAGACATGCTGGAGGTGGAGCAGTAATGATACAAAAGCACAGAGAGAGAGACTGTGTAGGAGAAAAGCCTTGATTTTCACCCATGGAGTAACGAATGAGGAGAGAAGCTGTGCAACAGAAAAGCATATTCAATCAAACCTATGACAGCAACAGTGTTTAAACTCAGCTTAGTTCTGTCACATGAGAATAGCAGTCAAATATTACTGCTTAGAAACTGCATCCGGAAGAGAATCCAGATTTGATCAGTCTGTAATCGGGACAACCTCAATGGCTAAAGTGCAATTACACTCTGAAAAATGATCATGTGACGATGTCATTGGATTTCTGCATTGTGTTTCAATGATTCCATATAAAATTTAAACAGTTTACAGGTAAAAATCTTTTTTCTCTTATTTGTCAATCTGTCACAGTCAGACCTGGGATTTGAAAGTCAGGGTGTATTTTTCCTAGTACATAGATCACTGTCAATGATAACATTCGGCAACCAGAACTCAGTTAACAATTTTGTTGATATTGTACACCCTAAAATGTAACTCAGCTCACTCTTCTTGAACTATGTTGGTTCTCCAGTGTTAAAATGAGTGAAAAATAGTCAAAGCACATTTTTTCAAAAAAATAAACAGATATGCCACTGAATTGGCATAAGAAACA